ATATATATATATATATACATATACATATACATATATCGAGTAAATTCGAATCATTCGAAGAGCAAAGTTCAAAGCATCCAAAAACGTATGAAAGCGTATCGAGAATCGAGGATCCTGCCATTGAGGATCCTCATGTTCATATATATGTACATATATAAAGAAGTAATTATACTCATATACTCATATATATTCATTCATATATATATCGAATAAATTCGAATCATTCGAAGAGCAAAGTTCGAAGCACCCAAAAACGTACGAAAGCGTACGATCGAGGATCGAGGATCGACGAGCAGCCATCCGAATTAATCGTTCCGTCGTGTGTTTGATCAGGAGGTGTACTGCGGTCGAGAGACGATCTGCACGGTGGACGGATTGCATTTCAACTCTCTGTACAATGCCAGGGTGAGGGCGTTTAACAGCGCCGGGGAAGGCGAGTATTCCGAGTTGATCGGCCTCCAGACTGCCGAGGGTGAGTCTCTTCGCGCGTTTCCGATTATATTTTCTCCGATCGAGTGGAAGAGATGAACGAGCAAAAATAGGAGCATCGACGTTCGTGGTCGAAAACGTGATCGATCGATGATTCATCGATCCGTAGCGAGAATAAAATTAGATCATCCGAGTCGATTTAGGGATTTACGCGTTGTATTCTTATAATATGGAGCGAAACGTTACGATATAGCTGATCTGTGATTCATCGATACGGTAGCAATGCGTCGCGAGAATAAAAGGAAAGGGGTCGCGTTATATCCTTATGACGTGGAGAGAAACGTTAAGGTACAATATATAGCCGATCTATTCGTCGATCTGTGGTATCGTGAGAATAAAATTAGTTTCATTAAAGCTGACAATTTGGGGAAGCGCGTCTCGGTATATTCTTATGACGTGGAGAGAAGAATTACGATACAAGTACAATATATAGTCGATCTATTCATCGATCTATAACAATGAATTGGGAAAATATTAGATTTGGAACCGAAAATATGGGGAAATGCATCTTATTATATTTTTATAATATGGAGAAAAACGTTACGATCTGTGGCAATGAATCGCGAGAATAAAATTACATTTTTCGAAGATGGCAATTTGGGAAACGTGTCTCGTTATATTCTTATGACGTGGAGAGAAGAATTACGATACAAGTACAATATATAATCGATCTATTCATCGATCTATAATCGTGAGAATATTAGATTTGGAACCGAAAATATGGAGAAATGCATCTCATTATATCCTTATGACGTGGAGAGAAATTTTACGATACAGATACAATATAGCCGATTTCTGATTCATCGATCTATAGCAATGTATCGTGAGAATAAAATTAGTTTCATTAAAGCCGAATTTGAGGAAGCGCGTCTCGTTATATCCTTATAACGTGAAGAAAAATGTTACGATACAATATATAACCGATCTATTTATCGATATGTAGCAATCGTAGTATCGTGAAAATAAAATTAGTTTCATTAAAGTCGACAATTTGGAGAAATCTCGTTATATCTTTATAACATAAAGAAAAATGTTACGATACAATATATAGCCGATCTATTTATGGATCTGTAGCAATGAATCGCGAGAATAATATTAGATTCGGAAATTTGGGGAAACACATTATATTCTTATAATATGGAAAAAAAACTTTACGATACAATATCGATCTATTCATCGATTTGTAGCAATGAATCACGAGAATATTAGATTTGGAGCCGATAATTTGGGGAAATGCATCTCCTTATATTTCTATAACATGGAGAAAAACGTTACGATACAATATCGATCTATTCATCGATTTGTAGCAATGAATCGCGAGTACAAAATTAGATTCATCGAAACCGACAATTTGGAGAAACGCGTTATGGAAGAATTTTCCGTTAAAGTTTCATAATCCTTATAATATGGAGAAAAATGTTACAGAATTTAAATTACGATACAATAACCGATCTATGATTCGTTGATTCGTAACAATAAGTCGCGAGAATAAAATTAAATTCGAAACCGAAAATGTGGGGAAACGCGTTTCATTATATTCTTTTAACATGGAGAAAAATATTACGATACAATATATAGCCGATCTATTTATCGATCTGTAAAAATGAATCGCGAGAATAATATTAGATTTGAAACCGAAAAGGTGAGGAAACATGTCTCATTATATTCTTATAACATGAAAAGAAAGGTTACGATACAGATACAATATATAACCGATCTATTCATCAAC